GTTCTCAATCGAGAAGGGGGCTCGACCTACAGCACGATCGTTAGAAATCAGAAGAGTAAGCGTACTGCAAGCTAGCCAAAAACTCAGCACATCAGAGAGGCGGAGGAAGGGCCTAGTTCACCTGATGCTGCTGGTTCCAGGTGCTCTGGGAAAACAGAGCACTCAACTCTCACGTGAGAGGAGAACTCTGAATTCAGAAAAGAAGCAGCGTGCTCATAGAGGGAGCACTGCTAAACACTACCATGAGAACAGCCCACCGAGCGAGGAATCCAACTTCTCAGAAGGGAGAGAATTCAAACGCTCGAAAGAAAGCACCATGCTCACAATAACCCTCAATGGTGAGGGGAGCGATGCTTCAAAAACGTGTCAACAGAGACACACTGGTTGAGTGGAGCCCAAGGTACCGGGGTCTAAACCAACTCAGAGAAAGGGAACGAGGCTAATAACGCGTAACCCTTACCATACAGGATTTCAGAAAAGTGTGCAAAATTTAACGTGCAGACTTACCACTATGTGGATTTTAGAATTCTCTTTTAGAATTCTCTTCAAGAATCAGCTAAAAACACATCTCTTCCATCTTTATTTCACCCTCTAACTCTAGCACTCTATTCTAATTCTATTCTTTAAAAAAAACTTGCCCCTTTTAGACTTGCACTCTATTCACTTCTCTTTTTTTTTAAACTAACTTCTCTAATATTTTTGTATTCTATCTATTTGTTTTCTTTTTATTTATTATACAATTAACAAAAGAGAAAAAGGCCTATAGCTTGCTCTATTCTTTTTCTATTCTATCTGTTTTCTTTTTATTATTTATTATTAAACATTTCACAGTATTACTGTTTTTACTGTATTTTTGATCAAATATTTCATGTCTCATTATACCAAAATATAAAAGAGAACTATTTCAGTAAATGAATAAAAATAATATAGGGAGTTTACTGTGTTGACCATTACAGTAACTAAGACACTAATTATAGTGATAACAACAGTATGGGTGAGCTGCCCGTGCTTGTATTATATGCACATGTGATCATCCAACCACCTGTTGATTCCCTGCATATCAGACAGAAGGTCAAATCTGACTTTGGTAATATGAGCTATTCTAAATGAACAAGTCCTGTTGGTAGAATCAGTGAGACTGTAATTTAAATGTGTTTGAGGGCAGTGGCACGATTTATCGGGGGAAGTTCTTCTGTGCGGGGAGTCATATGGCTCCCTTTATTTAGCACACTAGGATAAACATGTGCAATTTTGTTTTCAATTGTCAATCATCTAACAACAAGGCTCGTGATTCTGCATGTTTCTATGTGAGTTTATGTTCGGACTTGAAAAGTGTGTTTGTTCCTCATTTGATTAGTGTATGATGCCCAGTTTTTTATCTTAAACCCTTTACAAAGTTGACAAATAGGATACTTAGGGGTTTTTAAATCTGTATAAATAGTGCTCAGTCGAAGTCTGACATGAAGTGTATTCCAGCCTTAATTAGAAGAACTGGTCAGAAATGAAAGATTCTTCAAATATAACGTTACTTATGACATGTTACATTGTTTATGTAAAACTTTAAATAATGCAATGAATTTTCGCTTCAGATAAACATTCCTGGCAGTTGTCTATCTTAATTGCCATTTTTATATAAATAAATTTGACTAAAGATATTGACTAAAGCATTGGGTCTCTAGGATTTCAAGGATAAAAACAGTTAAAGGGGTCATATGATGTGATTTCAATTACAAGCTCTTGGTGCATAAAGAAGATCTGTAAAGTTGCAAAGACTAAAGTC